GGGGGGGGGGGGCTTTTTAAGAGAGGAAGCTTATTAGAGAATGAGGAGTTTTGGAGAAAAAAGGGCGTGTTAGAAAGAAGAGCTTTTTGGAAAGTCATTGATGAGAGCCAAAATGTGAGTCATTGATCAATATTGGGTATAGTGTGCATTTCACTGGCTGAATAACTCATAACTTTCAAAACACGTAGAGAAACTTATAAGGATTTCAGATAATTTCTACAATGAGACTAGTATAACAATAATAGAGTTTTTCCTAGACGGGAGAAACAAGGGTGGCATGGTAGAAACTTGAGCTTTGGACGAGGTGGGGCGGGGGGCTTATTGGGAACTCAGTTCAACCTCTGGTCGGGGATTGCTAATTAGAAACTTGAATCTTTTACCGGGAGTTATCAAAGTCTTTACGATAATCTTCCTCTATAGAGTGTCCATTCAACAGCACATTGAACGCTCCTTTATCGCCTGTGGCACATAACATTTCTAGCCCCTACTGGCCTCTTGGTTATCGCTTACACGCGACATGTGGATGGTACATCACGGCGCCTGAGAACTACACCGTGGTGCTGCATCTCAAATATAAGCTATCCATGGATAGCGTAAAGGTTTATTACGTGGAGAGCTCCGTGATCAGCCTCCTCGCCCATTTTACTGGACGTGTGCCAGGACATTTGTACCAAGCCACTATATATTCCAATTTCCGCCGTTTGTACATCTTGTTCGAAAGTAAGATTGACACAGATGAAGGATTTTATGCATCGTACTCTGCCGTCACTCCAAGTATGTATACGGGGCAACTTAAGATTTAAAGGACACTCGATGAGTGTGGGTTTGTATAAAGGAGGGGTTGGGGCACGTTTTCTTGTGGGTGCTCCTGCTAGACCCTACACCCTTTATATAATCCCGAAATGTAAGACCCCTACATAACTAAAACACCGATACAACGAGCTAATTCCAGTAATATTGATGAATACTGTGAATAATATGTGTATCTCCGGTTGAAAACCCTACAACAATTTAAACATATAGAGAACTTTCTAAGGCTTTTAGATACTTTTTACTGAGATTTAAGCAAATTTAGAACAGTAATATAATGTTTACCTTGGTGAAAGGGAGAAGGAGGCTTATTAGAGAAAGAGGCGTCTTTGCAACATGGAGTATTGAAAACCTCAAACTCGGACCCGGGAGCTCTTGACAGGGAATTGTTAAAGCGTTCACGATAATCATTCTTTCCAGTATGTACATTGAACTCCACATTGAATGCTCCTCTGTCGCCTGTGGAACATAACTTCTCCAGTCCCTCCTTGCCTTTTGGCTATCGCTTAAATACAACTTGTGGATGGTATATCACGGCGCCTGAAAACCACACCGTGGTACTGCGTCTCACGTACAAACTCTACTTGGACAGTGTAGAGATTTATGATGTAGAGGGCTCTGTGATCAGCCTCATCGCCCGTTTCACTGCACGTCTACCCTTACGTTCTGAATCAACTACTATATATTCCAAGTTTCGCCGTTTGTACATCGTGTTCGAAAGTAAAGTTAAAACGACTGACGTAGAGGAAGAATTTTATGCATCGTATTCTGCCATCTCTTTAGGTATGTATACGGGGCAATTTTATTTTTGAGGAACTTTGAATGGGGGATGGGTGGATAAAAAGGGAGGGCGTGGTCGTTGGGGCTGCTCCTGGCAAACCTTATGGAACGTAAAGAGGGTAGGTTTTTAAAGAAACTTTGGTGCTGCGTCAGTGGGGGATAAAATAAGATAATTTGGTCGTATCAACTGAGGTGATAGTGTAAATTGCCTACTGTAGAAAGTTTCTGAAGCTGACTTTTCGAGCGACAGATGGCTTACGCTTGAAACTTCAGCTTTAGAAACTCTTTGCGGTGGTTAATCTACTTTATTAACTTAGTTGATTAAACCAAATTATCCTGTGGATCGTAACCTCGATACAGTTGCATTAAAGCGTTATCCCAGTATATGGAAGGTGTTTAGGACCAAGAGAATATCAATTTTAGAGACTAGTCCCTCATAAAGACCTTACTGCGATGGTTGCTTTTACTTGCGTAAAATTACTTCAAAATGTCTGACTGCGCACGTGTTAAACGTGCGCGTCAGTCTGGTCGTCTTCTCTTTAAGGGGAATGATGTTCCAGAAACCACATAATTTTTATCGCTACCATTGAAAAGTTGATATAGAATCATGCCAATGACCGAGTTTTGAAACTACAGAATGTCGCCTAACCTTTTCCAAACAGTCTACAAAGACACTAGAAATTGGGCTATGGGCGCCGCCATTTATTATTTTGCTCAGCAATGTGGCCGCTTACCTGTGACATAATAATTTTTTTCTATACACTCTGACAAGGTGGCGATGAGACATTATCAGTTTCAGTCTATTTCATATTTCTCATTGAAAGTAGGCTCATGTGAGGTAGTCTTCTGGCTTTTTCCTCACTTGATCTCAGGAAACGTATCTCTTGAAAGGTCTATGTAGCCATTCTGGTATCTTGTCGATTCAATCTAACGTTATTTATCTTACGTATTTTAAGAGGTAGATAGCCCTTCTAATTTTTTTTTATCCATACCCTTTCATAAACCTTCAGCACAACAGGCATCGCTTTCGTGAGAGGCAGTTCAACCCAGGTAAACGAATTTTTTATGATATTCTTTCCATCATTATATCTGTAGCTCACGCCTGTTCATCGATGAACTCCTTGGATGAAAATAGGAATATTGTATGGAAGAGTCCTTCGGGTGTCATAACAACCCCTGGGTATCCATCCAGCTACCCGCAGGAATTGATGAAACAGTGTTTCTGGAAAATACTAGCGCCTGTTGGAAATATTGTACGAGTGGATTTCCTATCCTTCCGGCTTCCGTCTTCTAGAACATGTTTGACTATTTTCTTTGCGATAAATAAAAGAAATCCAACGCAAACGCTTCTCTGTGGACTAAAAGCATCGTTTCTACTTTACTCAATGACAAACGAGATTGGTATTGAAGGTCCGCAGTCGTATGGCTTTAACCCCGGACGTGGTGGATTCAATGCGAACTACACGACCATACCAGCAGGTGAGAACGAAGGTTGGAATGTCGCGCAATATGTAATGTGTGAAGGAAGAAACTTATTGTGACTCAAAACGCTTCCCAAGCGCTGACTTTGTAGGAAAACCAGGGCGGCGGCGACATCTAGACCGTGTTGAAGCAAAGGATTTCATCAAATGAGCACAACAAAAGCTCT